ACATTTGTCTTTGTATTTTTGTTACTTCTTTATTTCCTGGGAAGATTTGAAATGTTGAAATAAGCATGTCATCCTAAAACGTGTAGATCATCAATTAATTTCAACTATAAGTATATACAGTAGAGGAGCTAGGATTTTCAAATAAAATTTCAGTGTATCATTTCGTCGAGAGCATGTTAGGAACTTGTCAATTCTTGCCAACATCTGCCGAGGGCTTATACCAACAACACTATGACCTGTAGAGACTTGTCGAGGGTGGCTATAGGTAATTGTGGAGAGATGTTGAAGACTGTCAAGCCTGTGGCATTTCATCGAGGTGGGCAGAAAAGAATTGCACACAAGAATAGAGAAAGGGAAGACAAGGATGATAGAAAAAATAGAAGAAGTAGGAAGAGAAGGTTGTAATTTAGTTTTTCCTAGCTGTTTATAGGGGTCAAATACAAGACACATACAAATATATATATACATGGAGTTTTTGAAGTTGTTGAGGTCATGGACAAACCAATGGCTTGTCTGACTCTGCCACTGTATATATACATATATTAGGGAAAAGTATTTGATTTAGAACCCAAAAAAAAGAAAAAGTACTTATACCAGATGTTTAAGTTAAACAGTGAAGGGAAAATACTTGGCTCCCTTCTTTGCAAGTAATTATTCCTACTTACGTGTTAATTACATTTGAAAATATGTGTGTAACTATGATTTGCAAAAAGGGAAACGATCTCATCTCAATCTGTTGAATGAATTATGCAGGAAAGTGTTAAGTATTTATTCTAGTATATTAGGAGAAATTCTTCTGTTAACCTCAACGACAACGTCTTTTTTACACATACAACTAATTGAGTTGTTAAAACTAGCCTACATACGTGGTTAGATGCAATACAGAAGACTAGTAGAGTTCTGCTAAGTTATTTGTGTGGACGTATGGATGACATAGTTTTTTGGACCGTCAAATAAAGTAAAAATTCCCATATAGTCATCTTACAAAACAAATTACAATGCATAGTTATTTTTAATTGCAGTGGCGGAGCCAAGTTTTTATGTGTGGGAGGGCCTCTCACATACATAGATAATTGAACTCAGAACATGAGAGATTGGAGTAATTTACATAAAAAGTAATTTGCATAAAAATGGAAAGACCTAAATTTGATAGAGAGAACTAAAACTATTGCACAAATCTAGAAACTCGAATGAGGTCAAGAGTAAACAATAATTTTTTTAAAAAAAAAATATAAGTTAAAGCCAAAGAAAAGTTGATAGAATAAGGAGGAGAAGTGAAGACTGCACCACAATAAGAGTGATGGAGAGAAAAATCAGATTTGGCCTGGAACAAAAAGAGTTTGGATTGAGAATACACTTGAATTTTAAGAGTATTAGATTGATATGCAGCAACAACATCTGTTATAGTAGCAAGAAGAAAATCAAAGGCAGCATGGGTCAAGGACTATTATGATCCCTTAGTGGCTCAGCCACTATCTAATTGCATTGATGTTATTTCCATAAAAATGCCACCTATAGATTTCAAGAATGATTAAGTAGCGACAATATCAATACGATTAGCTCTAAAATCTGATCCGTGTCTCTAAAACGTTAACATAGACTAATACAAATTCTTCAAACTTAGTGGGCTCAATATGTTTGTAATGGATTAATCATAAACAAGCGTATGGACGGCTGGACCCACTTTTCTCCATGGAACAATAATGAGTGAGTAAAATTCTGAGGGAATGTCAAAGCGGATAAGGATCCTAAGGATTCTCACATCATAGTCATTCATTGTACATCGTGCAATCAGTTTTCGTTAGTTACTATTTGTGTTTAATCTTAAATAAAAAAAATTTAAAATGATTTATGACTGCATGATGTTCGATAAACAGTTAAAATGTAAGGATCCCTAGGATCCCACAATGTGGATCCGGATGGGATCCAAATCCAAAGCTTTGGCCTTTGTGGGTCCACTTTTCTATATCGAATATGAGTAAGAGCAGGTAGAATGGGCTTGCTCAGTTGGCTTGGTTGGTCCAATCAATTGGGCCTTAAAGATATTAACAAGGCATTTGGGCCTTCTGCCTTTTTGCAGATAAGCAAATGCTCTCTCTCTCTCTCTCTGTAAATGGTGATGCGCAAAGAAAGGAGAGTCGAGAGGAGAAGGATGCAAATGAAGTAGCAGCCGAAGGGGGTGGAGAACAATTAGGAACAGAAGAGCAAAAGCAGAGCAATGATGGCACGAGTGGCATTGCCATGGCGGAACGGACTCAGAACCAGAGTTCCGGCGGGAAGCAGAGGCTGCAGCGGAGCTCAGACCACCTTGAGAAACGACGCCGGCCACCCGATTATCATCTCTCCTCCTCTCGTCTCCTTAGACATACCTGACGATTGGGCTCCCGGCACTGCCCAATCTGGGTTTTCTTCCCCCTTGAGTTTCTGTAAGCTTCCTGCTTTCCCATCTCTGCTGGTTAGCTTTCCTCTGTTTATCTGCTTCCATTTCATTTGTTGTCGTGTTTAATGTGTTAATGTTACAATATTTTAAGTAAATTAAGTGGTATTTGATGGTTTGTAGAAAACCCAGTTCCTAAAATTTTGATTTGTGTTAGTTCATCACAGTATTATGTGTTAAAGTTTCGATATTTCTTTTGGGTAAATTAAGTTGTATTTGATGTTCGTTCGTTTATGTGTCCATATCATTGTCGCCAACAAAAGCTACCTGACATGTTATCTGTACATTTTCGACAATACTGATATGCGTAAAGAAGCACAAAGAAGATTTCCTTTGTAATGGTGTTATGTATTGAGGGTTTCAATATTTTGAGTAAATGGAGTGGTACTTGATTGTCCCAGAAAATCCAAAATTTTGGAACTTTGATTTGTGGTATTTCGTTATAGTATAATGCATTAATGATTTCAATCTTCGTTTTCATGCCCACCTCAGCAAACGAGCAGAAAGCTGCTGTGATTGATGGGAAATCGATAGCGGATGAAATTAGATTAAGGATAGGCAGTGAGGTGAGGAGGATGAAGGAGAGCATTGGAATGGTTCCTGGATTGGCTGTAATTGTGGTGGGCCACAGAAGGGACTCGCAGACTTACGTCCGAAACAAGGTGATGGCTTGTGAAGAAGTTGGAATCAAATCAATGGTTACTCAGCTACCTGAAGAGTGTACAAAAGATCAACTTCTTGGCGCTTTATCTTGTTTCGATGTGGATCCCTCTGTTCATGGTATTCTCGTGCAACTTCCTCTACCACAAGTAATTTCTTAATCTGTGCCAATACTTCTTTAAGCTTTATTTTGTGCAATATGCTGTTCTGAGAGTAAGGATGCATATAGAGCTAGACTAAAATTGAAGTTATATATGTTATGTTGTATTTTCTCTACAAATAATTCATTTCCCCAATGAAAATGTAGTAGATGGTCATGATTCTCCAATGCCTAGATAATTTGAATCTTAAACATAGGTGATTAACTGGAACGATCATTTTATTAAGAATGATAAAACATACTTATATACTTGTTAGCTATTACTAATAAGTACTTTACCTGAAACTACCACACTCAAGGGAATGCCCCTTTATTGGGGATCCTGCTTGACTAAAAAACTGGGTGGGATAGGCTTTAAAACCTAAATCTATCACACAATCACCCACCGATTGGAAGCTTCCCCATTTTAGAATTCAGTTCCCTTAAAAACCACAGCACATTTCAAGCAAAATGGTGTCTGGATTGTGCTAATCCAACAATTTCAAAGTTTCGGTCACTTTGGGATTGCAGGCCCATACGTTTGGTTTCAAGCTTGTGAGATCCCTAGTTGACAAAGGTGAATTCATTGGAAGAGTACAGCCACTCGCCGAACTTGAGACTTGACCCTTGAGCACCCTAGTGGATAGTTATTACTCTTAGATCACGTGTGGCAAGTTGGCAACTAAATAGTTGAGGTTTTGATGCATTACATGTCAGAACTTGCTGCTGTTGTATGGATGACTTACAACAAACTGTCTGGGACAGCATTTGGATGAGGGAAGAGTTTTGGATGTGCTGAGTCCAGAGAAAGATGTCGATGGCTTCCACCCGATTAATATGGGAAATCTAGCTATGAGAGGAAGGGAGCCTTTGTTCATTCCCTGCACTCCCAAGGGTTGCATTGAGTTGTTGCTCAGGTCTGGTGTGGAAATTGCGGGGAAGAAAGCTACTGTGATTGGGAGAAGTAACATTGTCGGACTTCCAGCATCACTGCTCCTGCAGGTGATATTATATTCTTTCAAAAATGAAATTAATAGTAAACATCCATAGATCGCTATTGTACAGGTATAATTTTCTTCAAGTTGTGTGCAGAGGCACCATGCAACAGTCAGCATTGTACATGCGTTCACAAAGAACCCAGAACATATCACCTGTGAAGCCGACATTGTGGTCACAGCTGCCGGAGTGCCTAATCTGGTCCGTGGAAATTGGCTGAAGCCTGGAGCAGTTGTTATCGACATTGGAACTACTCCAGTTGAGGTAAATACCAGACTCCTCCATCCGTTAAGTTATAACGTTAGAGAATCGAATAGATACCACGATTGGATAATGTTGATTAAGCTTCTGTTATATTGATCAACCAACGGCAACGCCATAGCAGCATCCAGTTTTCTTGCACCTTTTTTTAATTAAAAGTTTGATTTTGGCAAAACAAAATGACTGCTGCTTTATTACTTACTTTCCGTATGTTAATTGACATATACGTATTGGCAGGACCAAAGCTGTGAGCATGGTTACCGTCTCACCGGAGATGTTTGCTACGAAGAAGCAGTGCGGGTGGCATCAGCCATCACCCCAGTGCCTGGAGGAGTTGGACCCATGACAATTGCCATGCTTCTATCAAACACCCTTGACTCGGCAAAGCGAGTATGCGCCTTCACATGAACTGTAATTTGTTGATTGTAGCATAGTTTTGGTCATGTTGAACTGCTGGATTTCAATGCTTTTTTCGACTTTTAAACTTGTTTAGTTACAGTGTACAAATAATAAATGGTTGGCTGCTGAATCAAATTTTCGGGCTGATAGCCGCGTAAACAGGTAATATACAAAAGATTTATAATACAACATTCTGTACCTTCAACCATCGTACGCCCTCCTGATGAAGGAAACCAATCTGGATATCCAAACCTCAGGAGAACGCAACGTAAAAAAACGAAATGAATAACTTGGTACAATTCAATGCTGACAGAAATCACGAACAGCATCAATCTGGCGTGAAGATAAAGTATCCACTCTTCAATCTGCGCAGACGCTAGACCAGTCATTCTTCAACTTCAGTCGCAGGTTCAACCGGCTCTGTGACTGGCGGTATGCAATCTACCTTGTAGCGCAGCACCTATATTCCAGCAAATGAAAGATATAAATGTAGGAAAATTCCGATATTGAACATCGGCACAAAAAGGGTACCAAAAGATAACAATGAAACATGTAGAGTCCAAACGCGACCAATTCATAATAAAGTTTGAAAAAAGATCAGATTTTGCTTTCGATCTCTCAAAGTTGAAAATAAAGTCGTCTGACCTACTTTAGCTACTTTGTTAGAGATGGAGACTTAGCAGCCACTAGATGAAGTTGCATAGGATTATTGAAAAGAAACGCAACAGAATATAAACAAAAGAGGCCAACTCTGTTGACAACGAGATGATCCAACGCAACTTAACGGTTCAAACATCAAAGTGAAGTTTTCAAGCAGCATCTAAGGCCCGCTTGTTTTCAGGCAAGAATAATATGTAAAGCGGCGAGGCAAAACAAAAACAGAATATCTACAAGATACAGAAACATGTCTGCGCACCTTCTTAAAAAAACTTGAATAGGAATTGTCCCAAATCAGTTTGTAGTTTCCCGCCTCGCATGTGCAGAAGTTCCCCTGTAAAAGAACATATATGTTGAAGCCAGGACATTGATATGAAAAATGGTGTTCTAACACCACAAATAGCCAGAAATAGCAAAACTTACTTGGTCAGACTCGAAACGTCGGTAAGGTAAAATGAGCTGTGGTAAAACCAGCAATGCCCCCAACGTTATTACAAGAAAACAAATAAGTTAGAAAGAGCAACAAGAGAGTGAAAAGAAACAACAAAACAAGGGTTGAAGAGGAAAAGAATAAAGTGAACATAGTAATTAATAACTGCCACGTCATCGTTAAACTTACAGATTTTTGCCCAGAAGGATTTGTATACTCAACACTAAATCCAATATCCTGACCACCAAACATAAATATCAGTATGGGATGTACGTTGTCATTAATTTTGCATAAAGCAGCAAACGAGAAATCCCAACAATGCTTTAGAACAATACCAAGTTTATCTTCCCTTGTACAAGCGAGAAATCCCAAGCAATATATGAATTTATTGCGTCCACAGCCAATGAAACCTATAAGAGTAATGAAGCCACATTAATTACTGGCTGGGTATTAGTTAAACGGCAACAATTGTTAAGAAATAAATCAATAGAATTACACCCCCATGCATGTGAACACTAAGCACGAAATCATGAGGAAAAAGAACAAGTACCATGAGAAGATATATATAAACAAACCTCATGAATTTTCCCAGCTGGAACACTGGTCTCTTGGTAATCATCGTTATTCCTATACAGAAGAAATTAACAAAAGTTTTAATTCAAAATGACAGAAGGTAATTTAAACAAGTAAAAAAGAACTAAACTAGAGTCTCATTGCCCCACCTTCCTTGTAATGCGCCCGCAACCTCTGCTGGGATAAAAAAGGGGGAATTTGCAAAGACCTCACTGAAAAAAATGCATACGTAAATTGATATAGGAATAAGCGCAACCTAGCAGCAGGACAAAGGAAAAACAGGCTTGCAGCCCAATATGACAACACTGCTTTTATTTTGGATGTGTAAGTATGTGAGTACTATCATGCCTATAATACACAAGCAAGCAACCATGATTAGCAATTTCTTACTTCTACAGGTGTTTACACAAAAGGATAGTCAAATCAAACCCTTAGCAAAAGGAAGGGGTATATAAATTGAAAGGGCGATGTTACTGGCACTCCAAAAGAGTCATTGTGCACTCCTCACAAGTGTATTTTTGTTTAGGGTGTTGCTATCCACACACTAGTTTTTACCTCCCACACACTCTTGTTAATTTATGTCCATTTGATCTTCTCCAATTCATTCGATCTGACGGCTGGAAATTAAGAGGGGATGTGGGAAGTAAAAAGGGGTGTGTAGATAGCACCACCCTCTGTTTATAAATATATAAAGTTTGGAGTGCACATTAACTTTTTTGGAGTGCCAATAAAATCTCCCAAATTAAAACCTCAAAACCAATATGCAAGTGATTAATACAATGACAGCGATAATAATCATTATCGTCAGGATGACATATGGAATTAAAGTTGCCCAATCCAAAACAGAAAAAGGAGTAATACCTGATGAACGTAATAAACCTTACAAATTCAGTGGTGTAGACATCAACAACTTCTTCCAAGACTGCTAACTCTTGCTTGCTTCTTCTCAATTCATAAAACAAATGAAAGTGTCACCGTTAAAAACAATAGAATTACATCTTGAACATAACAACCGAAGGTAAAAAGATTCTCACAATTTTCTAGTCTCAAATCGCCCCCAAGACAACGAAATAAAGAGTCGTATAAGAAGGGCCATAGTTGTAAGGCTGTATAAGGGTGGTCCATAACGTTGTCTTTGCTCTTCCATGGGCCTATTGATGAAGGATACAATAAGAGTATAAGACATTCATTACTATAGGAAATGCAATCAAACTACTCCCCCAATAAAACTTACCCATCATCATCATTTATCTGGCGAATAAAATCAAGTAAAACCTGCATCAAAAAGGAAGTGCAGGAACAGTTACCAATGATCGACAATCCATAACATGGAATCAGTAAAATATACTTAAATTCATCTACAAATATATAAACTGAAGTTCCATCAAATAACTATGCTCTCACTAATACATACCAAGGCAAAACAAGAAATCTAGGTAGACAGGCAAGTCAAACTGTTAATTATTGATCACACCATTAAGAATATTAACCATGAAAATGAACAAACCAGCAGTGGATATACAGGTCCATACAAAGCATAAGGTGTAGTAGGCAAATTCAGCCAATAATGTGGCAAGCAAAGGCCGAGAGGAGCATACCTGTGGAACCCCCACCAAGTACTTGACAAGCGTCTTGTAGACACCAGTTGCAGAACCAAGCTGCGCTAACAGTCTCCTCCTGAAAAGTTTTTGGGCCGAGTAGAATGTGAGGTGGAGCACGTGTTGCTTTTCACTTGATTGGCAAACGAAAGGAGGCTTACCTCTCCATTTGTTGGTTCCACAAGAGAGCATAACGTTCACGTATAGTTGCTCCAGAACTAACCAAAGCTTCAACCTCTGCTTGCTTATTCCTCTCTGAACGCTCCCGCTGTAGTCTGATGAGCCTTCCCCGAAAATCCTGTGGAATGTAAGTCATAACTGCAGGCAGCACATTCAGAAATTCCATTACGACCATAGAAAATTCATGAATAACTCATCGAAACACAACACGAGCAAGTGAGAGGGAACTACCCGTGTTGAACACACGTTCGGAATTTTTCGCTTGGAAAGTCTCCAATGTCTTCAAACTGGTTTGAAATTTCTGGTGGAGGCGATCAATCACGGTAGCTAGTTCAGCATCATCAGGACTGAACTGCATTCGAAGCTGCCGAAAGAAACACGAATCAAAACACAACGAAAAGGCAGCATCTTTCGCAGCAAAAACGGCTTACATTAACTTAGCTTAGACTTACAGTTTGAGGCCAATGGGGTTTTTCAAGCAAAAATAGTATCTCTTCCATATGCTCTCGATTCTTCCACATGTTTTCGTCGACTTTATGGGGAGGTTCAGTCTCCAATTCACTCACTAACAATCTCTCCTCGCCTAAAAATCAAACCCATTCGATTTATTCCTTATGCAAGATATTGAATTTTAGAGATTGCAAAGCAAAAAATTGGAAAAAGTTGATCACTATAGCAAAAATATGTAAAATTTTCAAAAGGGTTTTGAAATTACGAAAACCTTGAGCCGCCGGAGAGTGGCGGAGCAAATCGGCGGTGAGGGATCGAATCTCGGCTGAGAGGCGAGCGACGTCGTTTGAGAGAGGGGGGAATTGGTATGTGTCGTAGTAGGAAGCGAGAAAAGCCCTGGTTATTGGTACTATACCCTCCGTGGAAGCCATTTTTACTTGTGAGCAAGACCAGTCCAACGCGATCTCCCTTTACCTATCTTTCTCTCTCCAGCTTTTCTGTGTTCGTCGGCAACAGGAAGAGGGGAAGAGGAAGAAGGAAGTTACGGTGGAATAACGGATTTTGAAAAGGAATAAACCAAATAGAGAGTAATTGAGTCAAGTCCACGCCACCACCCACCATACCACTCTTGGATTAAGATTTTCTCTCCTTCTAAATCACTCCTCTCTCCTTCCCTCCCTTCTCTTCCTCTCTCCCTCTTCTTTTTATTTTTATCTCTCAATAAAATATTAATGTGTCTTAATTGTGATCGTTTTTTTTTCTTTCCAAATACAGGAAGTTTAAAGTGTAGAATGAAATTTTTGTATAAAAAATAGAAATTAAAACCACCTTCTCTAGTCATTTAACTAACTCAGTGCTTATTTGAAAATATTTTCAAAATAACTGGAAGTGTTTTTAATTAAAATGTTTTTGGATTCTAAAAATACTTGCATTTTTATTAAAAATTGGTTCTAAAAATATTTTCATCAAAACGCTTTGAGCCATTTTAAATACATTTTCAAATGAGGTCTTACTTATTTTGAAATTCTAATTAGACTAGATATGTACATTAAAAGTCAAAATGGTCATTTTATGTTTTTTGTCGAAAAGTCAAAATGGTCATTAAACAATGACAAAATCATATGGGCGAAAGTGCAATAAAGCGGAATGCGTTATTGAAATTGAAGCAAAGAAAATAAAATAAAGCATAATGGGTTAACAAGACGACGGCTTTGAGAGATGAACAAATACAATGTAGAAATCTCTACATTCATGCCAATGCCAACCCCCATTCCGCCGGCCAATTTCCTACGCATCTCCAGCTTCACTTGTTTGAGTCCACTGCGTAGCAATCTTCACCATCGAACCCATCAAACAAGAAGGAAACATAAGCTTTCAAACGGCCGGGAAGAATTTGAAAAAATTTACTTTGACACCTCTGCGCTATTTGGATATTGCACCTTGCGCTAGTCGAGGGACTGGAGTCGGCCACCATGGGATCACGATCGGGAAGAATCTGAAACAATTAAATTTTCTGTTTCCAACAATCTTTGACACCTCTCCGGTTACAATGTTGCACCTGATAATATCTTTTATCCAAACATGGAACTTCTTCGTATCTACTATCATATACAAGGTATCCTCGTTATTTTGGTCGAAAAATACCCCCTCAATCTCTGTCCATGGACCTATCACAACCTTTGTTTCATCCACCAAGTAAACCCTCTTCTTAAGTTTCACAAACAAACTCTTTGATCCTTCAACTCACCCTCGGATCTTCTTCTTCTTCTTCTTCCTTCAACTCACAAATAGACAGATTGCCGGAAACATAGTCCTAGTTGCACATCCGCACACCCCCATCATACGCTGCTATGCACCTCATTGGAAGAGCGTCCCACTCATTCCTGATACGGTGTCTATAACAGGTAGATAAAGTAGCACTAGCACTCTTGTTGATCATGAACGGATCCAACTGAATAAGAATGTCATCATCATCGCCCATCCAATACAGCATTCGTTTGGAAGCAACGCCAGTACAGACACTCATCATTTCCAAAGTAAAGTTGTACGCGGATGTTACATTTCTCTCGGATCTTACAGTTGTCTCCTTCCATTCACCAGTCTCAGAAGAGAAGATCTGCACTTTGAATGTGCAGAAATCTCTCATGTCGATGAGTTTGAAGTTGCTGAAATCTATCATTTCCTTGTCCTCGTCATCGGCATCATCAGGATCCATTAATCTCACAACCCTGCACCTATAATCCGCATTAAGCTGGATCAATCTCCTGGCTGATAATCTTCCTTGTTGTTATAGTAGGGAAGATCACAGATGAATCCCACTAGTACAAACTCGCACACTTGTGGTGGGGGAGAAAGAGGAACCCACTGGATTGTATATGGATTGCAGATGTAGTAATCGCGCTGGTTAAACTCGCTTGCGCAGCACAGAACTAAGTCATTATATGTACCTCCCATAACTGGCTCTTGTTTCAAACCATGGAAACTCACAAGTCTTTGGAAAAGCTGATTCAACGGTTGAGAGGACGGCGACATTCTTCTAAGGAATTCCTCCCCTTTTGTATCTATTGCAGTAGTTATTGGCTTTTGGTTACGGTCCCTTTGGAGGTATAGAAAACGGCCCATAAAATGAGTATCCTAAATGAGAATGCACCAACGCTTGGAAACGCACTTGCATTGTGAAACGGACTTATAGGAAGGAAGTCGACAAAAGATTTCAGCCAATAAAGAGTCCGGTAGATCATCAATATTGCTGTTCATGAATTTTGATGATGGCCAACTTGATGTTGTTGCTGATGCTAAAGAATGCCCTCTTCTTGAGTGACAAATATTAACCGAGGGCGGTACTGCTCTAGGGGATGACTGGCTTATTCTACTGCGGCCACTCTTCGCACCAATAGTACTGTTATGGCCTCTCATGGCAGGATGCATAATTAAAGTCAGGCTGTCGGCTTCCGAGGGTATTCTATACCCCAAACTGCACAAGATATACAAAAATTAGGACCGACATAAACACCTTTTCGTTCAAGAACACACACACACAAAAGAAAAAAGAAAAAGAGGAAGAGATAGGTACTAGGGTACTGAAAAACTAGTACATTGTACCTAATAAAGAAGCAAAATTTTGATCGGCTGTGCAATTCACGGCCTTGCTGCGAGAATGTCGATTGTGGATTTGGACCGCCAACTGCACCAGCAATCTGCAACAATGTAATAAGCAAAGGAAAAACGAACACCAACTGTGGAGCAAAAAATAATCATAAGGCGACATGTGGATTTTTGGGTAAAAGAGGACAAAAATACCTTTGAGGCATACCGGGATTCCTACGCGCGAGCAGCGGACAATCATCCGTCAATCAAGTCAAAAGTGTCCAAAATAGGTAACAAATTCAAAGATATTTTCATCCATCCTCATCTTAAGTAATTATTTTATAACCTACATAACATTTCATTTAAGTGGAGGTTAATTGGCTAATTAATGAATTAATTCCTAATTAATCCATTAATCACCAATTAAATCATCCATTACACCCCCAAAAATACCCTAGGGCCGGCCACTCTTTCTTCCAAAGAGGGCCGGTCATGCTCTATAAATAGGACTTCATTTTCTCTAAAAAGTTGGTTCCAACACTCTTGCAAAACTCCCAAAAAGCTCTCTAAATACTTTTCTTTCTAAACTCGAACTTTGGCATCAGAGGTTCTTCGGCCAAAGCCCCCCATCCATCGTGGGCGCGTGAGGCTTTTGGCCTTAACCAAAGGTGTTAGTTATTTTGTAGGTGCTATTTTGTCTAAGATCAAGGAGGAAGAAATTTGCATCCATAAATTGGTGCTTTCATTTAGAGAATCGTCACACACTCGTAGAAGACTCCCGCATCAAAAGGTTTTTCTATTTTCTTGTCCATTTGTAGATTTTTCGTACGTTCTTATTATTAGAATTTTTTATTTGCAAAGATTCTTTGATAAAACGTAAAAGAGATATACAATGGCAAGAAATTTAGAAAATTCCACAAGTGAAAATTTCAATATTCAAGAAATGGGACCACAGTGATCCACGAGGCTAAATGTGATCATAGGAGCGGCACCATTGCTACGGGGCTCCACCATGGCAACCACCGCGGTGGCCACCATGGTCACCACTACCCGCGGCGAGGTCCATGGCATCGCTACCACGACCCGAGCCATGTCATCCAAGGCTCACGACACCAAGGCCACTGCCCAAGCCATGTCATTCCAAGCCCAACGCGAACTCAACGAGTTGCCAAGCCGAGCCCAAGCCTTGCACCCATGTGCATCACATTCCAAGCAGCCTACTCCCGCCGAGTAGCCTACTCTCGTGGCCTAACCTGCTCCCGCCGAGCAACCCACTCTCACGGCCCAGCCTGCTCCCACTCTCACGGCCCAGCCTGCTCTCACCGAGCAGCCTACTCTCGTGGCCCAGCCTGCTCATGTCAAGCAGTTCACTCTCGTGACACAGCCTGTTTCCGTGGTCCAACCTGCTTCTGCAGCCCAGTCTGCTCCTATGGCCTTCTAAGTAGCCTAAATCAATCCAAGATTAGTTCAATTATCCCAGCTCCAAATTTCCAGACTGACGATCGAACCAGGAGCATTTTCACCATATTTTTCTGCGGATTTGGCATTTCCCAACTCAAATCTCGCCCCACACTTCCACTGCTCAAGAAAACGCATTCATTCCAATCTATTCCAACCCAAATGGATAACAACACTTGTCTCGACAAGTCATAGAGTTGACGAGTTCCCTCGCACAACAAATGACCTTGGTGAACCAACTCTTGCAGCGCACCGAGATGCAGCGTGCCCCAGACGAGGTGTCTTGAAGTAGGACAAAGGCAGACAAATAACCTCTCCAGCAGCGTCCTGGTAAGCAGCCACTCGACCAGCCACGAACCAAGCGTTTAGGCAGTGTACACTCTCGATTGGGCCCCCGAGATAGTGTATACTCCCGTCTTAGAGCGCGGAGAAGGGTGCACTCTCGATTAGGCCCACAGACGAGCATACATTCACAGTTGGGGTCACACTCCAATAGTCAACATGAGCAACCTTCCAGGCGAAGTATTCATTAGCGGCTAAGCCCGCAAGGAACATCATCCACCTCACATCGGAGTAGGCAGCACGACGGACGGAGAGAATCAGTTACTCAATCTGGCTCAAGTTTAACCGGAAGCTTGCGAAAAACTCGCTCGCCAGCTATGAATGCACTACACGTACCGTATCAGCGGCATAGACGAGCCAAACACATGGAAGAGCAGCTTAGACCAACAAGTCACGATTGGAGGAAGCCGAGAGCTCCACTACCTCAACAAAGGTAAATTCAGGAAGAAGTAGAGAGACCTTTGACCAAGCGATTGCGAGGCACTACGATGGAACATGATCAACATAAGCAAGTCACCATTCACGGACGAGATCGAGCAGGCAGAGCCTCCACGTGAGTTCAGTATACCACATTTCACATCGTTCAAAGGGGATGAAGACCCGGAGAGACACTTAAAGCACTACTGAAGCGCAATGATCCTCTATCAAAACAACGATGATCTCATGTGCAAGATATTCGCCACCACTCTACAAGGCGAGGCGCAAGATTGGTTCTATACCTTACCGCCATAATCCATTCGGAGTTTTGACAAACTATCTTTGGTTTTCACCAAAGAATATTCATCATATCGCTCGATCAAGAAGAAGTCCGACCACTTGTTCAACGTCAAGAAGAAACTAAAAGAGTCGCTTCGTGACTATATGAAGAGGTTCAAAGCAGAGAATGCAAAGATAGTCGGATGCAACGACTCGATAACTAGAGCAGCCTTCCAAAAAGGACTTCCAGTAGACCACCCACTTTTCTGAAAACTGATAATGAAAGAAGATCTAACTCTGGCAGACTCTTTTGCTTTGCATAAAAGCATGTACTTTGGGACAAAGTTCGCCGATGCCCATTCAAGGCAAATCCGAGCGATCTTGAATATGAAGTCTCCCACCACTTTGAAGGAGATTCAAAGTCTGACTGGACGACAATAAGCTCTACCATCATATAAGAAGAGCTGGGGGGCCGACTATATTCCATAGTTTAAAAGCTTTCCTCGATGCTATCAGCTGTATTCCACATTTTAAAAACTCTCATTGATATTTTCAGAAATTCAAAAACTAACTTTGGCGATAGTTGTTACAACCCGGAAGCTCAAGTTTTACTTTCAAACACATACAATCATCTTCATAACGTACTATTCCGTCCAATCCAGACGCGCGACGATAAAGGCGTAGACCCTGGCAGATGTAAAGTTTTCTGACCAACGCAACAACTCAGTTAAAAAGACACGACAAGGGTAGATGAATACTGGAAGGACACACTCGGAAGCAAGTTTTGTCCTCATCACCCTAAAAGATTCTATATAGGAGCAACATGTACCAGCAGTTGAGTACCATCTCTTGCTGCGCACCACACGGCCCTAGCCAACCCTTGCTCAATAATTCAACTCCAGAGTGGCCCAATACTGGCAGTTGAGCATTTCCTGCTGCGTGTCACATGGCCCCATCTCCACAGCTCCCTACTACACCTTCACGCCGAGCCTAGGTGACGCAATAGAGCGGCCCAACGATGCCCCAGAAGTAGCCGAGCACACTCTAGCCGATAGAGACTTCTAGCATTTGCATGTCGACGACGCATCCAACTACAAAGGTTCAGGAGCAGACGTGGTCCTTGTCACCCCAGGCAGTTCGATGCCCGTGCAGGCAATCATTCTAGGTTGCAAAGCATCCAACAATGAAGCAGAGTACGAATCCTCATTAGTAGGTCTTCGAATAACAAAAGACTTGGCGGTGAAAAAGCTTTCAATTCATTCCGATTCCCAGCTAATCACCAGCCAGACTACTAGGGGCAAAGGCATGATAATCATGGCAACCGACTACTTCACCAAATAGGTAGAAGCAGAGCTCATGACGATCACGATTCAGACGGACATAGAACGCTTCATATGGAGGAACATCATTTGCCGATTTGGCATCCCTTAATCCATCGTCACCGACAATGGCCCGTAATTCATGGGCAAAGATTTGGCGAAGTTCTTCCAAAAATATGGCATCAAGCAGCACATGTCTACGCTAAGATATCCTCAAGGCAATAGGCGGGCCAAAGCATCCACCAAGATGATCTTTGACGTCACAAGAAATCCCCTACCAGTAAGAAAAGAAAATGGCCAGACGAACTTCCTAGATGTATATGGGCATATCCCACCACCAAAAGACGAGCAACCGGTGAGACTCCTTTCTCTTTGGCATTTGGCTTAGAAGCAATCATTCATCTCAATGTCATCAAGTCAAGTATCACCACTTTACTACCAAGCATTGAGCAAAAAAGAGATGGCCACAAGTTTAAATCTGGCAGAAGAGAAGTGCGAGCAGACTATCACCCACATTGCAACCTACCAGCAGCAGTTCATCTCCAGCTACAACAAAAGGGCCAAGATTTGGCAGTTCCAGCCAGAAGATCTAGTCCTAAGAAAAGCCTTCATCACTGCCCGCAGAGAAGGCTCCAAAAAAGATGGACCTCATCTGGGAAAGTCCGTACAAGATCAGCAGAGTAGGTGGCAAGAGTAATTACACCCTCGTCACCATGAAACGATAAAAAGATCAAAAAGCAGTGGAGTGCCTATAATCTGAAGAAGTATCATATGTGACCTCCCACTACATTAAAGCCCAAAGACTCAAGAAGCTCGACTGGCACCACCTCACAAGCCGATGACTATCCAGTTGTTATGCATTTCCTACCTTACAGCTAAGTTCTTGTTCGTTTCACTCATTTTTCAATGAGGAATTCAGAAGTAATCACAAATTGGCTTAGATGCATGCTTACAACAACTGATCACTCATGCACTTCAAAAGAAGATTGCGCCCTTCTTAGGGACTCATCGCAGGAATTGCGCCTCTGAAGGACCAACCATGCTCTCGAGTGTGAGAGGGTAAACTTGTTCTCTAGTGCGAGAGGATAAACCAATTCCCCGACACCCATATGGGTTAGC